CACCTGAACTGACATTCTGCCGGTGTAAAAGCTAGCAATGCTGGCCTCGCATGCTCTGCCTTAGTACCCAATTCAGAAAGAGGGCTCAAGACAAATACCAAAAGGACAACACTTCTAGTTTACTTTTACTATATCCTAGTCATAACACCAGAGCAAGAGAAGCGAAGGATGGGGAACACTTACTTAGACCACACACAGTAGTGATGTAATGTGTTGAAAGTGCAACGAAGGAAGAGTAAAAAGGCTCATATTGTTTGTCATGGTGCAGGATTTCAGATTCACTGCAACAGGAGAACAGGAGATATGTCAATTGTATACAATGCAACACAACACTCAGAATATGTTATATCTATTAACAGATGTATGACAAGATCACTAAAATCAAAAGCTCTTTCCAAATCAAAGTTTTGAGAACAGAATCTCTCCCTTGTGTCCCATCTCTCACGTCCTCAGGACTGAGTCCCTTAGCAGCAGACAGATCATGGCATTGCTACCCACATAGGATATTTAAGGAAATAATTCCAATACTGCAGATGTTTCTCTTTCATATCATCAACAACAGGTCAGCATCTTTAGCAATCACTCTCCCAGTCAAAGGTTCATTGTTCTTTAAATTATTCTAAACTCAGCTGCCCATAAAGTTTGGACTGTTTGTTCTGCTAACGCTAGGCAGGATTTGCCAGGACTGGAGCACAGGCATTCCCTTTCTGTCAAGGCACGGAGTCAACTGGAGTTTATGCAATTCTGCAAAACAGAAGGATCAAACAGGCAATTGCATAACAACGAATATACAACACAGTGTCTGCAACAAGCTGGGCAGTAAAGACTTTTGGCAAGTAACACAGCAGAGAAAAACGCATCCACTGCCTCATGGGTAGAGACTTGCAACTTCAGAGATCTGCATCATTCTGCTCCGTACACAGATCAACACAAAGCTCAGAGCAAGTGAAAATTTCCTGGCAACTCAAACCAAACATAAAAATTGTACAGCAAAATATGCACATTAACACACTGCAAGTCAAGTCTCTGAGGTTTCCCAGTGAGGCTCGCTGGCCACGGAGAATGTCTGTTTATGCACAGGAATAACACCTTAAATGCTGCTGCAATAAAGTATCACACCACATCCCTTGCACAGAAACCTGAAGGCAACCACCCTGAGAAGAGAAACAGAGCTCTGCCTCCATAGCTACTTCTGCCCTTAATTTTCCCTGCAACAAAACTAAGGGATGTGGATATTGGCCTATTAAATGCTTAAATTACTCTTTCACATTTTCATTCAGTGATGTGAACGAACAAGTTGGAAGAACAGATCATACGACTCAACTTCTCTAGCCACTTTACCTCTCAAAACACAGCCTTCTCCACCTCTGGCAACAGTTTACTTCTGGAGGGGATGTGGGGAGCAGAGGGTGTCAGCCTGTCATGGCACTCTATACCCAACTAAAACAATGATTTCTCAAGTCTGACAATGACTAGCGCTGCTGCAGAGTATGGCAAAACGAACGCACGTATCCCCTTCACCCATCCGCACACAAGGATGCCAGCTTTGGCAGGGCAGGAGGAGGAAAAGGACACACCGTTCCCTGCTGACCTGAACAGAGCCCAACTTATGCCTGGTCACCTTCCCTTTTTCTATCCTAAGTCATTCTTTCCAGTCATAACAGGAGACGTGTCTGAAACAGAAGAAACTCTAGAACATATCATTTCTTCTGGAAAAATGAACAGAGAGAAAAACTCAACAGCTTTGTAGCTTTGATTTTCTAGTTCTGAGATTTTTGTTTTATTTAGTCTAACCAAAAACCTGAAAAAGCAAGGTAGCCGTTACGAAGCAAAAGGCTTTACTTGAAGATACTCAGCAGCATAACACAACTGAGTTTTAACGTCTCACTCACCAGGCTTCACCTCACCATCTCCTGCCAGAAGTGCACTGATGGGTAACGAGCCCAGAGACCAAATGTGGATAAAAGTTCATGCTGTCTTATATTCAGACACTAATTTTGCTCACCTACCTCTTTATGCCCAACTGTAAATTAGCAGCAGTAGGTGTATGCAACATATTTTAAGAGAACAAATGAGAACAATTTGGGAATAACAGAGTATAGGAGAAATTGGCAGCTCCTCAATTATCTTTCTGCTGTATAGGTTAAGCTGTGCAAGACACAATACTCATGAGGTATAAGAACACAAAGGTGCAGAAATCAGAATGAGATAGGGAATTTCATCTGAACTGGGCAATAAGAGGCTTGAGTTTTATTAACGCAAGTTGTGGACTTGTTAGGGTAGTGAAAAGTGGAAGGCATGTGTCAACAAATCATCAAGTCCTTGCAAATAAATATAAATAAAAGATAACGGCTCAATCTGCGATGTGCTAGAGTGTTATTGTGCATAGATTGTGAGTTTTAATAATAACTTTCGGCTATTTTATTGTGATTTATTGCTTAAATAAGTTTTGCTTCCCAGGGAAACTCATTACTCACGCTAAGCAAGAAGCCTCCATGTCAATATCAAATATAACACGTCAGCAACAAAAGCCACCTCCTTTCTCAGTTCTGCTTCCAGATCTTAAACAGCCTGAAATAGACCCTTTATGTAAGGCAGCAGGCACAAAAGCAGCCTCTTCCTTGAAAAGGCACAGCAGCAGGTGCAGTTCTCCCCCTGTTGAAAACCCTTCTCTGAAAACCAGCTTTATTTGACTGTCAGAGACTTTGTAAACTGTGTTCCACTTCAGCTGGGTCTTCCCAAGGCAGCATTTCCATAATTTATGCCAGATAAGAGGCCAAAGTCTATCAATTCTTGAATACACCTGCTAACAAGGGAATTCCAGTAATGTGATGATGCTTAAACTTAAAAATGAAATATAACAGTTGTTAAGAAAAGGAGTTTATTAATTTATTTTGAAAAGAATAACGTTAGTAATTGTGCTGTCATTGCACCATGTTTATTTAACGGGAAATCCAGCCACTTTGCAGATGGTGTCAACCAACAGTCTCAGTACAAGAGCTAACAATCATCTTCTAAAAATAAGCTGAACAGATAAAATATTTTAGATTAGAAATCTAAAGATAGGTTATTTGTTCAGCATAGAAGAGCATGGCTCCAAACAAGAACAAGCTATATTTTTTTCCCTCTGTGATTTGCCACATGTTATATCAAGGCATGAAATAAAAGATACCGCCCTGCAAGACTCCACAGGCCTTGTGCTGGCATTAAATCCTGCCAGGTCTGAAACGCAGTCAGCATCAGGCACACAACTCAAACCTCGGGGCAGCGCTACTTAAAGGCAACAAACTGCTGTCTCAGGTGGAAAATGGAACCATCATTCTCACTAATGGGGGAAACAGACCTCTCCCAAAAGCCAAGAGCGTCCACTCGAGCGCTTCTGTGATATTCTTCTGCCAAAACACTCCAATTATGAACTTTAGGCACAATGACAGCAGAGCTCCGCAAGCAAAAGCGAAGCCGAAATGGCCCCTAAATGTAAGACTAGCCTAAGAACTGCCCAAATCACATAAATATTGAGTATATGCAGGTTTCTAGGTGAACCACTACTATATGTACAGAGGCACAGAACGCTAATTTGAAGCATCCAGTGTTTGTATGCTCAGCCATTCTATATTAAGCAAAATACCACAAGGCTTTATTTTATCATCTTCCTTGGCACAGTGTTTATTTTTTGTTTCCTAACAATTTACTGTGGTCAGGGTTATATCTCTGCAACTGAGCATAATGTTGTGGCATTCATATGTAGTGTTTTAGATCATAAAATAAGCTGTAAGTTAAATAGCTCCAGGAAGTACTCTCATGCTCCGAGTCTAACCTTTCCGGTTAAGAAAACGCAGACTTGATTTGCTTCAGCTTTATTTCTCCTTAAAATACGAGTAGTAGTATTTCAGGGGTAGAAACCTAAAAGGAAGGCAATGCCCTACAATGAACCCCCCCCCAGGAGTCTGTCACCAGAGGAGACAGGCCAGGTGAGACAACAATTTTCACCGCGCAGCCTGCAAAACCGTTAACACGCTTGAACAAAAGCAAAAACGCAAGAACAGTCCCGAAGCCTCTCGACGGGGTAACTGTCAAAGGTGCTTTTGCTGTGGCCGAGCAGCAGCCAACGCGAACAGCCAGGCGTACGTCCTCATCCCTGCTTATTAGGTCCCAAGGGCACCACCCCGAGAGCCTCCCAGTCCCCAGGAAAGGCTAGGCATGAGTAACTCCCTGGACGCTGCTCGGGGCTCCCTTTTTCCCCGGCAGCCCCAGCAGGCGCTGGCCACCGGCCCAGCCCCGCCGCTGTCCCCTGACCAGCACCGAGCAGGGTCAGCCGCTC